CCCCCCCCCCCCCCCTCTCAGCCCATTTTGGTTATCTTTTTTCATAAATGAAAATCATTTCAACTACATACTGTTTGGAATCGTGTCTACAATATTAACTCGGGATATAGACAATCACCTGAAAAACATATGTTTAGGATTTTATATGAGCTAATCAGTGTTGCTTTGATGCAGATACCTACAAATGGGGGGATGCTGAGTGCCTTGCATAAATACCATGGGCATGACACAGCAAAATTTATTCTGGGCTTAACAAGCCTATTTGTTGTGATCAACTGTCTGACATCATTCCAAATATATGCCATGCCAGTCTTCGACAACCTGGAGTTCAGATACACTAGCAACATGAACAGGCCCTGTCCTTGGTGGCTACGAACCGGGTTTCGTGTGTTCTTCGGTTGCCTGGCATTCTTCATAGCTGTGGCATTACCGTTCTTGCCAAGCCTGGCCGGGTTGATCGGAGGGATCACACTTCCTCTCACCTTAGCATATCCTTGTTTCATGTGGATACGGATCAGGAAACCGCAGCTATACAGCTCCATGTGGTATCTCAATTGGGTGCTAGGATCATTGGGGATTATCCTTAGTATCCTACTAGTCTTTGGAGCAATATGGACTATAGTGACTAAGGGAATTGAAATCTACTTCTTCAAGCCCCAATAGCGAGTGACAGAATGGCCAAGAAGAACTGCAGTGAAGATGACTCATCTATAACTATTAAAGCTGACCACATAACCCTGGTTCTCAAAACCTACTTAAAACTGCTGTTGTGCAGGGAACCATGTACCTACTAGCTGGTGAAGAACGAGACAACAGCGATAGTGTGATCCATCATCCAGCAATGTATTGGCTTGATAAAGAACTGCAAAATACCGTGTGTGATATCATGTTCTTGTAAATATTATTCACTTCAATCACCTGATCTTGTTGGTTTTCTGGTTGAACAATAAAATTCATTGCTAGTGCTGTACTACAAATGGTATAGAGATTGCTAGAGTTCTCCACTTCCACATTCATGAAACAAAAGCATATTTTAGCAGCATCGCTGGGGCAAACAAAGTAAGAAAACAAAATGAAGCATCCGAAAGCAGAATATAACCCAACAATGGGAATTGGGAAAGAAAGAAAATAAATAAAACATGGAACTTTTTTGTAAACCCTGAATTGAACTACAAGGGATGCTCAGCCTACAACCATCTGCCCCTACTCAGTCAAAACATGCCCAAATTTTGGTAATATAGAACTGTAACATATATTATTAAGCATCTTTTGTTGAGGATATAACACCACTTACATTCGTTAAGCAGCTTGCTAGAGGTGCAATAGCAGACGCAAATAAGCGAAAACGAAAGCGGATGGACCAAAAGCCATGGCAAATAACTCCCATAATTTACAAAACAAGATAGGGGCACTTGGAAATGAGTTGCAACATTTTAGGCCTCTACATTGACAATGGAAGAAGCATCCTCCGCCTCTTTTTTCGGGCGTGTCTTATTTGCTTTGTAATTTTCATGCATAAAAGCACGAGCAATGTGATGCATACTAAGATAAAAGAAAGTCTCAAGTGCCTGAAATATAACGAAACAGCAGAGAAAACGAGCAAAGCTAAGATGACGAGTTCCAATAGAACAAAGACCACGACATCCACCCTGCATTCATAGAAACAAAAGCACAACATCAAGGGTGTCAGAAGTGATAGTTTGCTTGGTAGGATATTTCCACAGGTAATACATGTTAAGAATAAGTTGCAAGAAATACAGATTTCATGAAGACATAAATGCCCCTAACAGCATAAACCTATGTTGGTACTTCTCAGAATTTGAATCTCTAAATGCATATTTTGGTCTTGCTAACTGCATTATCACATTCTCAATAGATCTGCTCTAACGTTCACCCCAAGTTTATTGCCACTAATTGAATTCTCACTATCTTGGATGAGATTTAAGCCACAAGATATGTTTTCACCTCCAACATACAGCAAATTACAAACCTAATATCCCCCTCTATTTATGTTTCTGAGTTTGATTCACTAATTGCTATTCAGAAATTGTCGCCTAGTTTTAATCTAATGGCATGAACCCAGAACAGTTAGCTAATGCAACAAAGGCACCATCACTGCTTCACGAGCTTCCTCTCTTGAGGCTATTTTATCCAACCAGTCAATGGGCTAGTTCCACTTACCAATTACGTAAAATTACTTATGTTTTGAGCTACACACGTTGCCTTCGTTGATAGCAATACTGCCATCTTAAGAATAAACCAAGGAAATTCTAACATCTTACTCAGTGATACCATGAGGAGTTGGATTGCCTTCAATTTATTCCATAACACAAAAACGGCCACAGTTATTGACCTCAACTTGCGATCAAAAGATAGCACCATATCACAGTCCACAACCTGAGTGAATTTTACTCATCTTTCAGTATTGGGAGAATAGCCCCTTTAGTTTGATTATGTCTACTCCTTTATTATGTCCTAAACATTTGAGAAGTACTCCTCAAAAAACACGCACAAGCATATATATGAGTGAATCACTCTAAAAACAAATAATATCTGAACAATTATATCTAATTCTTTGAGATTCAGTTACAATTACATGTCACATTACAAATAAAGCAATTCTAAAGACAACGGTGTATGAGACCCACTTCAACTTTATCTGCTACATTGCAATTCAAGAGAAATAGGAAAGACTATTACTGCTAAGAGTGCCTTCGTCCAAAGCTATATTTGGTTATAAATAAAAGAAAATTAGTATATATGGACAATGGGTCCTTTATTCAGCATAAGGAAGGATTTACTATTCCCGGTGCTCATTCTAATTTTTTTTTTTTTTTTTTGGTTCAGCGTCCAAGGGTGTTCAAACCAGCATTCCTTACGTGCATCTTGAGTAATCCATCTCATTCAATTTGAGAACAACAACAACAGTGTGGGTAAAACAATAAATAGTTAACAACTTTCTATGTTAATGTAATGACGTAGTATCATCAATAATTATGTTCCTCATAATTAATCTTTAAGGAACAGCACAATTTTATCATGCAATCCAAAGGTCAGGATGTTCGGATATTCAATCCTTTTATATTTCCAAACTCATGGTTTCCAATCATTTTATATAATTCTATATAAAAGTTGGAGAAATGTTAAATTAGCAACAGAGGATGTAACTCTTGATCACAGAAACGATGTGTGAACTGATTGTGAAAAAAAGGAAAAGAGAGAAAATTGGTAAAAATTGAACCCTAAGAGGATGGGCGGTAACCAAAAGGGTGAACAAAGCGATACCTTGAGTAGGAGTTATTAGAGGTAGAGGAGGAGAAAGAGACGGCAGGCCAGCCGTGTTTCGATCGAATCTGATACTCTCTCAGCTGCTCCGCCAGATTCGAACGCGTTATCATCGCTGCGTGTCCTCGTCTCTCTCTGTCCCCTTCCCCTTGTTTCTGTACGCACTATATGTCTATTGCTTCAGTAGTCATTTGTAATGGAGCCTTCAAAGACGAAGACGAAGACGAACTACACGAGAAGGAAGAAGAGAGAAAGAGCCTGCAAAACCATCAAAGTTCGTTTTGGCTGCGTAGACTTATCATCATGAGGGATATTACAGCTGCTACAGATCAACCCCTACACCAAGGACGAACTTTAACTGAATTCGAATCTCAACGATTCTTGGGCAGGTAATTCGGTGGGCGTAAATTGATGTAAACAATTTTCAACGTCAAACTAAAAAAAATAAATTTGTATAAAGTATAGTTTTTTCTCACCCTTTCACTCTTTATTTATTTATTTTTTTTTACTGTCATCCTAATTTAAATAAGTTGGTGAAATTAATGAGAGTAGTTATAGATATGGCATATGGTAAAATTTGATTGGAGACAAATAGGGATCATCTCCAAGCTAAAGAAAAAGCAAGAGTTAAAAAAGCAGTGAATCAAATTAAAATTTTCTCACTATCTAATGTGGAGTCACCAAAAGAAAATAGATTGAACATCCTAATGTGCGTGAATACCAACAAAAACATTTATAAACAAGTTTCTAGAATGATGGGACTCTTCTGAAAAGCCTAAGATGAAGACACGTGTCCTCGGGGGATTTGGAACAGTGTTGCCCGGATATAAGCACCATCGGCAAAGAACGTCTTTACCCCCGAGGTACCTCTCATATAGGATCACACATTTCGGTGTATTATACAACAAACACGTGCCCTTGGTCACCGTNGTCCTCACCCCCGAGGTACCTCTCATATAGGATCACACATTTCGGTGTATTATACAACAAACACGTGCCTTGGACACCGTGTACCTCGGGGAACATACCACCCTCGGTCCCCGAGGAGATCCTGTCCTCGGTACCGAGGGTCACTCCAACCTGGACGCTTCCTCTACTCCCGGATAAAGCTACTGACGTACGGGACATCAGCCTATGCCAGTCTAGACTATTCATCATGACCTCGTCTTAACACAAGTAATGTCAGGACATGCTGGAATACCGACGTCACAACCAATAAGGGATGGACGCGTGGCAAAAAATGTCACATTAGAAGTAGACAAACCGCATGCCGTCGCTGACACGCGACTTGGGAAAGCAAACCAATTAATTGCACCCTTCTGTTGACGAGACCGCATTCAATGCGGTAAGGTTCGGATATTAAAGGCAATAAATGCTCATATTACAGAGCATTTATTGCATCCTTCCCGAAAGGAGCATATTGTACCGTCGGCGTCCCGAAGACTCAGCATTGATTGCTCGGGACCCCGAGCAATCAATTAGAGAAGACATTCCTCATCAAATCAATACACACGCTACCTGTGCCTGATGATCACCTACTGACCACACTGACAGCAATCATGAGCTTCTAAGGTATAAATACCCCTCCCAAAAGGCAAAGCGGGTATGCAATCACAAACTCTCTACTACGAAATATCCTTCTCAGTGTTTTCTCCTTCCTCTCTCTCATTCAAAGACTGACTAGACCGTCGGAGGGGATACGCCGGAAAACACTCCGGCGCCCTTCTAACTTGTTCTCCTTTGTTCCAGGAAATACCTTTCACACGTACAGGATCGTTCTTCCTTTCCCACGGCCTTCCTTTGCCGTTCCAGGTTGCCACCGTGCCTCGAAGGTTGTTTCAAGCAGCGTGTTTGGCCACTCAACCGGCTCACTCAGAGTTCACCAGGGGAGAGATCTGTTCCCAATATTTTATATATCGTGCAGGATCGAGCCCGCACATAGAACTAATCAAACAGACTAGGTCATGGTTGAAGTCAGCCGAAGCATTTCTACAACAACAACTTTAAAGACCCAATCTAACCCCCCATTGCCCATATCCATCCAGGCTTTTGTTTGACTGATCTTGCCACTTAAACACTAGTGAGTAAATCTGTCTTTCTCTGATCCTGCAGAGCTGAAAGACACAAGACATGCATAAAAAATCGTTTAAATTCAAACCCGGCCGATTTTAAATTCAAACCCGGCTCTCAAAAGCTATGTGACCTGAGGTGAAAAGATATGGGCTGAAAAAGTTATCTTAATAATCATAGCAAGCCATTATGCCCATATCCATCCAGGGTCAATCATGATGTACAGTACATTAGATGGGCTTAAAAATCTGGGCTGATCCAGAATAACGAAACAACTAAAGCCCACTCCAGGCTGTTACATTTCAAACGGATCAAACAATTGCAGCAAATTTTTCTGTTTTTTTTTTTTTGATACTTATTAATTTACGTGGCAGATTAATTATTAATTTTTGTGACGTTTATCTATTTATTTATTTTAATATTATTAATTAATAATATTATTTTTTTTTATTATAATATCTCCGTTTTAATAAATATTTTCCTCTC